TATATAAAAAATTTTTTATTTTAAGTAAGATTTGTTACAAACTATATCGTCAATGAAGTGAGAAGTTTAGCTGAGATAACGACATAAATAAGAACTTCGGTCTTCCACAGTTTTGGTAGAGGTCAAACTTTTTTCTGGTGGACTCCTCTATACTATTTGGCATCCAAGTTAGAAGGAAAGGTGTTTCTAGTGGTATAACACTTTGGCAAGGAAGACTTATTATAGAAATTTGGAATATAAAAGTTGCAACACATTCTCTAGATTATGAAGAACTAACGTTTTCTCCTCCTTTGGACCCAACTCTACTCGATACTTTTCAGCTGCACAAAAAGTGGGGATTTGGCTTACTCTTCCAAAGGATTAATATTTGTACTATTTCCATTTTGGGAATAATCACGTTATTCTACTAAACAACAATAACACATATATCTTAGCTAAATAGCGAGTCATACTTAAACACATGTTTAAGTTGGAGGCGCAAAGCCAGAGTATGTGTTTGATTATAACAAACTAGATTTAATTCAGAAATTGTTTATTATTAGAGATATATTTTAGTAGCTATTTCTATGTAACCTCTAGTCATAGATATACAATTTTTATACAATATTCTGGGAGCAGAATACTATCCTTTTGTTTCTTTTTCTTCTTTTTGTTATATTGCAAAGTGTTTTTTATATGTTGCATGTTTTTTCTTTGCAGTTTTATTATATGATACATGGCCTTAGTATCGACTGTTATATATAATTTTTATTTTTTTTATGCCTTTTTGCTATACAAGAAACTATTATCAGTTTGGTAGTAGTCTATTGTATAGGCAAGAGTCATAATGGGCTGTGATGTCTGCTCAAATTGTTAATATTTTTTCAAAAGATTAAATATTAATGAGGAGAGAAAAGATCACTATGGCAGATCGCACATAGGTACCTATAGAGTAACCGGATAAGTCAATACTTAAAAAATTGTAGATTAGATATATAGAGTGCAGATTACTTTATAACTATGTATTTTAATTCATCTTTTGTTAAAGATATATTACAAATAAAGTGTTAGCATGACCTGCTGAAAGGTAAAAAAAAAAAATATTTTAGTACTTTAAATAGCTAGTTTATAGTAAAATAGAAAGTATAAAAATCTTAAATATGTCTTTTCTTATATATGCTTCTAGATATATCTTTAAATTATAAAATATACCTTTTTTATATAATTAATAAAAAGATATAATAATTTCAATTAATCAATTAAAATATAAAATTAAATATAAAAAATTATAACAAATATTGTATTATAACTAGTAACAAATTATTTATACCATTGTAATTAAGATTTTTTAAATATATAATTAATAAACATTATTGAATTAATTTATATAAAATATGAATTTATAATATTAAACTAAAATATATAAATTTACTTTGATTGATTAATGTTTTTTATACTTAAAATTGTACTTCTTTACTAAGAATTATAAGTTTTGATTAGTTGGATCCTATTAAAACATGCCCTTCTGGGTATGCTTAATAATTTTCCCGTGCCTTTCACTCTAGTCTACAGGCACAAACTGACAACAGGAGAAGACCGACCGTCTTGAGTATACTTTGGAGTTTGCAGATCGGTACACAAACGATTCAATTGATTCAGAATTTTTTTTATACGTGTTACAATACTTTTTTCGGGATTACGAAAGCGGGGTAAACGCACTTATTTAATTAAAATTAGGGTTAGAATTAGTTAGAGTTAGGGTAAGGGTGGTATTATATGTAAAATTGCCTCACCGACATTTTTTATTAGTACTTAAAAGTAGGTTTAAACATCTATTTTCTCGTATTATTCATATTTGCCTTTTTTTCCGTTAGAAATTTGCAATCTGATTGGCTAATGCATGTCAATCACTATGAAATTACCCCGCTTTAGCGGACCCGGTACCGACACGTAACTAAATTTAAAGATTTTTTTTTTTTTTATTCAGATTCTAAGGATTCAAATAAAAAAATTTTCATTGAATTTGGTTTGAGATACCTTCGATCAAAGTCATGAAACTTTTTTCCAGCTTTTTATTTTTGATTGATGTTTCAAAGGATTCTAATAAAGGTTGTTGAGATACCTTTGATCAAAATTTTAATAATAAGCCGGGAAAAAGTGTCATGACTTTGATCGAGGGTATCCCAACAACCACCAAACCGTATCTATACAACCACTGAACCAAATTCTATGAATTTTTTATTATTTATTTGAATACTTCTGTAAATAATTAATTTATAAAGTTAGATTAGTACCTTAACTGTTCAATATTTTATTTTAAACTTTGAAGGTTTCTCGATAATAGCATGGAAAATTACCAGTATAGAATTTGAAATTGCTTCGAATATCAAAAAAGAACAGAACATTATCGAAATAACTTCGTTTAAAGTAGAGATGATCGATCACTTTTGGTCACCAGCGTAAAAAATTGACGTGCGCTATGCTTATTCTGCACATAAACTTTAATTTATGAACAAAAAAATGTGCATTATTTTATTTCTAAATTTTTAGTAAATTTTAAAATATGTGCGTAAAAAGCACAATTTCTGAGCTGAATTTTTTTTACACTGAATTTTTTTTATTAATGTGATAACTAAATTTATTATGGAACACTATCACAATAAATGAAATGACCGAACTATAATTCATATAATTAATCAAAAAAAAAAAAAAAATTTAATCGATCACCATCTTTAGCTCAAAAGTTTAATGCTTGGTCAACCAATTGAAATATACAAATAAATGATATACTTGTGATAGAAAATCTTTGGGATTGCTACTTTAAGATTTCAGAGAGAACTCTTTTTGATATAAAAATTTCACGGTTTAAATATTCATATGTTATTAAATATATAGTATAGTAAATATTATATAAATGTTAAAATTTTATCATACGTATAACTACAAATTTACAAGCTCAAAGGTAGATTTTACCTGGATATTATAAGATTGCTTGGGTTATTCGGGTAAATTACTATAACAATTCCTATCCGAGTAAATCCCTAAGCAAGCTCGATTGATTATGCACAAGAAAAGAACTATTAATTTTTTTTTTTTATCTAGAATGTGAAGATAAGGTGGGAAGACGCTATGCAAGGTTGGCAGCCAATTTAAGATTTTAATACAGTATTACAGTAACGGTGACAGTAATAGTAAAATAGCTCAACAGTACGTAAAAACCTGATAATTATAAATAAAAATGCTAAATTTGCATAATACCATTCAAGCACTTCTACTAACAGATATTAAAGTTCATCTGCTTATATACCTCTGTTACTGATTTTACATTTTACACGCGCGTGACTTTAAATAGATTGTACAAAATACAACATACTAATATACGTACAAACATACGTGAGTTAAAGTGATACGTTATACATTTCCTAATTGTTTTTCGAATAATTACGTTATTTTTTTGAAAAGCTACATGGTATGATAAACATAGTAAGTGATAATTGCACAACAGAAAGGGCTTTAAAACGACTCAATTTTATATCACAATTATGGCTTAGAAGTTATTTGTCCAGACAATTCTATTAAAAATACTGTATTAATCAATACACGTGCTTCTTAGTGACGTACAACAATAAATATAAAAAGTGAAAAAATTCCCCGCACAAATTACATTTTACAAGTAGTTGACCGCTTCGAATCAAGGCTTATAACCAAACACGACTTAAATTTTTTTTTTTCACTGGTAAGTTAATGTAAGTTGTGAGTAAAAGCTCTAAATTTGAGTTTAATGTTTAAGAATAATTTGTCAGACTACATGCCTACTACCAACAGTAACATCGTCAAGACGATCAGCAATCCTAATCGGTTTAGTTCCCAACCAGGTTTGATGAATATGTCAGGTATTCTTGAGAACATTTGCGTTTATACACAAGGGCAAATCTTTTATTTTCTGATAAAAATATTAACACCGAGTAGTTGTAAATCCAGCTCAACAAGTTAGCCGGCTCGGACCTATAAATTCTGTATATCCACCAACTTCGATGCCTCAAAGAACTGCTGGTGCAAATCCTTTAATTTCAAGGAATGGGGGGAGGATTGGTATTTTATAGTTTATTAATGATTACTTAGTTATTCATTTTAAGAGCAATGGCATTTTTTTTTTGTCATCTAAAAAAATAATAAAATTCCTAATGATTTTTTTTTTTTTTTATCAAATATATAGCATCAAATTCATCCTCTTGGAATTATACTCCAGGTTCTTCTTTAGTGTCTCAGAATATTCCATCACGACAAAACTTTACATCGTATCCCAACTCGATACATAGTGTTCATCCTTCACAAAACGATTTATTAGACATGTCTGAGTTTCCGGCTTTAGGCAGTACTAACTCAGCTTCGAATAATGCATCCGCAAGTGGTCTTGGATCAAGTTATGCCAACACTGCGCAAACTGGATCAAATTCTGTATTAAATGACAATAGACCACTGCACCAACAACAACAACCGCAAGAGTTTACGATTGATGATTTTCCGGCTTTACCTGGTCCTTCAAATAGTGGTGTAACAAATCGTGGCGTTGTCGGTTCACAGCCAGTATCACACCATCTCGTCAATCATCAACAAAATAATGTTGATGGATTAAATAACGGAAATAATATCTCAACAGGCTTATCAGTATCAGGGGTACAAGAAAGTCGGATGAGCGTGGGTATGTCTCTCAAAAAGTCATAATATAATTTCAAATATTTACCCAATTTTTAAGCCATAAGTTGGATCTTTGGTAATTGGAAAATTGTTCAGAAAAATATGAGAATTAAGCTTTTAATTTTTTAATGTGATACTCAGGTGGACTTAGACCACCATCGCATCCGCCAGTTAATTCTGTGTCTGAGCAGGACAAAAAGGTGTGTTACTATTACACGGATGACCTACAATTTAATTCAAATTTTAGATTATTAACTATTGATTTTATCTACTTTTTCAAAAATTCTTTAAATTTTTTTTTTTGCCCCCCCCCCCCCCCCCCTATTGTTGAAATTGAATTTATTTGGTTTCTTCGGTTTACTTTTTTTTTTTCTTTTTAGAATTACCCTACAAAAGCTGGAGGTACTGTACAAACCTTACAACAATTTCCCTCTTCATCCTCTTCGATGATACCGTACTCATTAACTGGACCTCTCACCCCAACAACGCCATACTCAACATCTTCCTTAACGGGTACGCTACACCCGTCAATAGGCATATCAAACTTACAATCATCTGTAGGTGGTCCTTCGTTAAATTCGTCTTCTTCAACAGCTGGTCTAGCATCGGCTGATGGATTCGGATTGCTTGGTCTGCTAAGTGTAATAAGGATGACTGATCCTGATTTAAGCATGTTAGCGTTAGGAAGTGATCTTACAACGCTAGGTTTAAATTTAAATTCTCCTGAGTATGTATAGAATTAAGGATAAAATCTCTGTATTTCTTTTTTTTTTCTTTCTTCTTTGAATCTTGGGAGTTGTGTTGTTCTGGGAATCAGAAAAAGAAGTTGAAATACATGGTGTATTTTGATTTTTTTTGTATATTAGATTTAATATTACCCATTGTCTTAACAATGTATAATATATACATGTTTTTTTTAAAACATATGATTTGTAGTGCACTCTATGCAACTTTCACCTCACCATGGTCTGAAAATAATCAGGCTATTGGGTTAATTGAACCTGAATATCATCTACCTTCATGTTACAACGTACAACCACCACCACCAGCTCAATCTAAAATAGGTTCATTTTCGGATGAGACTCTATTTTATATTTTCTATAGTATGCCTCGAGATATATTACAAGAGACTGCTGCACAGGAATTGTGAGTTTGCACTGAATTATATATCTAGGGGTACTCAGATAGTTTTTTCTTAAAAAAAAAAAAAAAAAAGAAAAAAAATTATTATTTTTCATCAGGCGGGATTTGGTTTTTTTTTTTTTTTTTTTTTTTTAATTTTTTTTTTTTACTTTAAAT